GGTGGTGTGGTGAGTGTTGTTGTTGTTGTTAGTGGTGGAGTGTTGTTGTTGTTGGTGGTGGTGAGTGTTGTTAGTGGTGGTGAGTGTTGTTGTTGCTAGTGGTGAGTATTGTTGTTGTTGTGGTGAGTGTTGTTGTTGTTGTTTGTGGTGAGTGTTGTTGTTGCTAGTGGTGAGTATTGTTGTTGTTGTTAGTGGTGAGTGTTGTTGTTGTTGTTTGTGGAGTGTTGTTGTTGCTAGTGGTGAGTATTATTGTTGTTGTTAGTGGTGAGTGTTGTTGTTGTTGTTTGTGGTGAGTGTTGTTGTTGCTAGTGGTGAGTATTGTTGTTGTTGTTAGTGGTGAGTGTTGTTGTTAGTAGTGAGTGTTGTTGTTAGTAGTGAGTGTTGTTGTTAGTGGTTAGTGTTGTTGATGGTGGTTAGCGAATAAGTAGTGTTACAAACAGTGAGGTACAGTTATTCCTGTATTAAACTATGAAATTACGTCAGACCATTGATAGTCCTGGTTTCACTAATTCCACAAATTTTGTGATTTAGTAAATGTACAGTACACCAATTCCCCCCTACCTCTGGTAAATTGAAAGAAAAACCAACATTGTAGGACTGGTTAGGGAATTGGTCACCTGATGCCCATTATCTCACCACTACGAAAGCAATTCAATCAAATTAAGAGTGTGAGCCACACTACACTCCAGGTTAAACTACTGCACCATTATCTCACACAAAACCTGTAGTGTATATTAGTTTGTTTTCTATTAATATAATACTGCTGATATGATATGCAGAGTGGATTATTCTAATTTTGTATTTTCTTTAGCTCATCAGAGGTTTACTTTAATACATTACATTTGATTAAGTTTGAAAAATTTTGTAACCAGACCTTGACCATTAGTAAGGGACTAATGTATCTATGATCTTCTGGGTCATTTATTTTGTTTAGGAGAAATCATATTGGCAAAAATTCATTCAGTTCTACCAACTAGGGAATAAAGTCAAACAAAACACAAATAGGCATCCCCCTGGTTGAAGAAGGGTTCCGTTCCTGAAATGCTTTCCGTAACGCACAACCATTTTTCCCATATACTACTTTTGTTATAAAAGCTGAGATGTATTCCTAAGGAAATTTCAGTGAAGCCCCAAAAAAGAGCATTAAGTTCAAATGAAAGTAGTGGTAATAAAAGGTTTCAAAACGGAATTACATTGGAGATATATACAGTCGGCCCTTAACATTCGCGGGGGTTAGGTAACAGAGATACCCGTGAATGTTAAAAATCCGTGTACTATTGCTGCCCCCCCCCCTAAAAAATCCCTGGCCCCCATGTCCTTATTTACCGTATATACCTGTGTGTAGTTCGAGTTTTTAAGACCAAATTATTTGGCAAAAATTGGGGGTCGACCTCTAAACGGGTAATAGTTTCGTTAGGTTGAAAAATATTTACCAGTAACTACCAGTAAACAATGGAAACAATGCACCAACACACCACCAGCTGTGAGTGTCGGTACAGTTGCCAGGGCAGATCTCTTGCGAGCCCAAAGTAGCCAAATCCATGGTATGGTAGCACAGGACGATGTAAAACAAAGTATTCATTTATTAAAGTTAATTTATAGATACTGGACATAAATTTTTGTTCATTACATTTGAAACATCAATCTTTGTTAATTAAATTTGAAACAAGAGAAAACTACGATACTGGATTTTCATGAAAATATTACAGCACAAGAATATTTTACCTTAACTGTGACTGAATGAATATATTCTCGGAAATAAATATGGAAATGTAATATTTTTGCTGGAATGACGTACATATTATAGTGGGAAGTGGGATAAAATCATGAGGAAAGACTTTCGCTTTCTTTCGTTGTTCAAAATATTTTACCGTAATCGCTTTTCGAATGGTTTTCAGTTTAAAAACTGTTGTACTCGTACTGTATTACAATAATATTCTATCCTATCATTAGCCTTATAATCCCACAACTGAAAACCATTCGAAAAGCGATTACGGTAACATCTTTTGAACGAAAGAAAGAGAAAGTCATTGCTTTCGTCACAATTTTATCCCACTTTCCACTGTAATACGTACATCATTTCAGCAAAAATATTACATTTCCATGTTCTCAGAAATAAATGGTAGTTTTGTTGAAACGTAATGTACAGTATTTAACATTAAAATGCAAAAATAGCTATAAAAACAATTAATACACCCGTAATGTACTGGCTGGCATCTCCACTCGTCCCTGCTCCCGCCAGGTTAAAATACTCTTATATTAGTGATATTCTATTCATACTGTGCTTGATATAATACATTCATGGAAATGTAATATTTTTGCAACAACAATGCTGATGTCAACACAAGTGTGGTTACAGCGAGACTGACTGAGTGAGGGAGAGCTATGAGTGTGTGTGTGAGGTTGAGGGAGCGGGCGGTGTCCCGTGTTCGGTGCAGCGCGCGAGTTGAATGGCGCGCGATTTCAATGTACTTCAATTACTTCAATGTACAGAATATTC